ATCCTGGAACTAAGTCAATAGCATGCTAAACATCTCTCATTAGTGGCAACTCATCGGGTAGTTCCTCAGGGATCACATCGTGGAGCTTTCTCAATAGACTATCAACCTCAGGCAAAAGATCGTCCTTAGATTCTAAAGGACTCTGAAAAACTTCTTTGACAACTAGAATTACCACTACACCAAACTCTTCTCTCTTTTTCAAATTCCCTATAGGTCAAGATGTGAAGATCTTTCTTGTGACTTATTTAGGAAGATGACCTATGCTTTGAATTATTACCTTCTGAGAGTTTTGCAGGTTTTAACTTAATGGTTTTCCCTTTATGCTTAAAAACATAGGTATTTTTCCTCCCATAGTTTGTCACATCTAGATCAAAAAGTCACGGACGACTTAATAAGACATGAGTGACATCCATGGGTAAGACATCACACCATATATAATCTAAATAATCACCCATCTGAATAGAGACCAAACATCTCTGTGAGACTGGTAAGGAGGTTTTGCCAACCCATGCAACCTTGTAAGGTTGTGGGTGTGTCTCTAGCTTAAGCTGCAACTGAGCTACAACCGATTTAGAAATGACATTCAATAAACTTCCCCCATCAATGACGACCTTGCAAACTTGACCCCCACATCGGACCAGAGTATGAAAAATGCTAGTGCGTTTCTATGCTTCTGTGCCTGAAGGGATGGATAAGATGCATCGCATCACACTGACACAAGTGTCATCGTTCTGCCATTCTTCCTCACCTTCATCTAGTAACTCTAGGGGTTCCTCATCTAAAAGATCAACTTCTTGGTCAACATCTTCTCCATCAAGTGAATTTCCTAACCCCAGTTAATGGTCAAGGTACACTGAGGATACTGTGAAGTAATATGACCCTTATCATGACAACGGTGGCAGCCTGGCGAGAACCCGTGAGTGTAGAATCTCGACCCCTAGTGATATTACCTCTCAAGTTGGGGTAAGTGTTACCCCTAGATGTGACAGGTCCGGGTGACACCTCGAGACTTATCAAATGGGACTAACCTTAGTGGTTGAGATTCTCCGATTTGAGAAGGCATGCGACGTTGAAAGGGTGGCCTAAGGCAGTGTTATGAAAAGCGCGCCTAGGCGAGAAGCGAGGCGAGGCGAGACTAGCTCGCCTGGAGGACCCCAGGTGAAGCGAACGTGAGCGAAGCGAAAAAAAAGTGAGAAAAAGCAAAAAAAACGAAGAAGTAAAAAAAGCGAAAAAGCGTTCGCTTTTGTTATAAGAGGCAAAATGTTTTATTTTTAATTTAGACCGCTGGATTGGGCGATTGCAAAAAAAATTATAAGATGTTGATGTACCGAATTATTCCCTTTCCTATAAATACAACCCCTAACCTTATTTTTTCTCAGATAGGCTTCAATTGGTGTTGTTGCTCCACTGCTACATGATCGGACAAGGCTTCGATTTTTTCTTGATTGGTGCTGCTCCATTGCTATGCGATCGAACAAGGCTTCAATTTTTCACAATCTGGTGCTGCTCCACTGCTACAAGATCGCTGGACAAGGCTTCGATTTTTTCGTTGCTTTTACACCATCGCTACTGCTGGACAGAGATATCGCTAGTCTAGAGGGCTGGTCTGGACTGTGGAGGTTAGTCTCTTCTTCTTCTTCTCTCTTCTATTTTTTTTCTTCTCTCTTCTGCTCCTTCACCGATTCTGCTTATGCTCCTTTTTTTTTTTGTTTTTTCTGCTCTGATTCTGCCCTATTCTGCTCTGTTTTTTTATTTATCTACTATTCTGATTGTGCTTTTTTTTTTTATTTTGTCATTATGCTTCTATTTTTTTTTTTTTTGCTTTTTCCTTATGTTGCTGTCCAGACTCCAGTCCATATGAAAATCCCGCTATCCAATCCAGTCTATATAAAGATCCCATATAAATCTAAGGAGTTAAAACCAAATGTAAGCCTAGACAAATCCCGCTGTCCAGTCCAGTCTGTTATTTGGCCATGCCATGAATGGGATTTCAGATTTCTTCATTGAATACCACTTCTTGGCAACTACTTCTAATTCTGATTTATTGGGTTGTTTGACAGGTCCAGTTATTATGGACATTGTAATTTGTAGGAGTTATACTAGTGAAGAATTTGATTACTTTTTAATCACATCTAAAAAGAGAACAAAGAGGTGCATTTCTCTATCAAAAAGCATGTAGTTTGTGATTGATTGTATGCGTCCAAACTCCAGAGTTTTATTCTATAACTTATAATCAACAATGGCTAGTAAAAAAAAGCATTTCTAGGATGTTTTGTTATTAACATAAAAGAAACTTGCAGTGTACGATTAGCATATAGAGCACTCAATTTCAAAGTGTTAGTGTTTGATATCGATTATAAACCTTATGGTATTTTTTTTTTCTTCTTCATATTGATGGATTTTTTTTCCTTCTTGATATTGATGGAATTAAAGGTTTAAAAGAATTATACAAACAAATGAAAATACAAGACTTAATGCATTCAGTACAAGTTGAATTGTTTACATGTGAAATATGAAATTGTTTACAATGTAATGCTTCTAGTTTTTTTTTTTTTTTGCTCATTCTGCTTCTGTTGTCCTGATTCTGCTATTGTCTTAATTCTACTTATGTCCAGTCAATATGAAATTGCTCTTGTGCTACTTCTATTTTTTTTTTTTTTGTTGTTGCATTCTGCTGCTGTCCTGATTCTGCTTCTTTTGTTGTCCTATCCAGTTAAAATAAAATTGTTTACAACTGATATGAAATGTGATTCAGTACATGTGAATGTGTTTTATTCCTTTGATTGTAGTGTGATACTGAGGGATATGAATCTAAGGATAATGAAGAAGATGATTTTTTTAGTGATAAGGATTGATTTCTAAGTCCTTGAGATATTTTCTTTAGTTGCTTGAATTGTGTGTCTTATGTTTTTAAATATTAGGATTTGGGATATTATTATTGTTTGTATGAATTTAAATGTTTAAACTATGACTGTTATTAAAATTTGCAATATTATTAGTGTTTGTTTTAATTTAAATGTTTATGGTTTTACTTGCATTTAAATATTTAGTATATATAAAATTAGAACTTTGATGTGTATAAGTAATTACACTAAAATATTTATTTATTTTTTTAACTGCTCGCTTCGTTTTGGTAAATCGTTTCGCTTCGCTTCTCGCTTCCGCTTCTCGCCTAGGCGTTAGGAGTCTTGGTCGCTTCGGTTCGCTTAACGTCTTAAATATCACTGGCCTAAGGTATTGTTCAATCTATAAGGCTTTATAATATGCTTCCTCAACCATTTTAGGAGAGTGTAAGTTAATTTCTCTCTTAATCTCAGGACTCAAGCCATTAATTAATTTTGTAACTGTTACCCAAGGATCTTCCTTTATGTCACATCTCAGAAAGAGCTCTTCAAATCGAGCTAGGTAATTAGTCACACTCGAGGTCAATTGACGCAAGTTCATCCACTTGTCCAAGAGTTAGCGCTTATAGTAACTAGGGAGATATTTATCTTGCAATCTTTGTTTCATCTCAGCCCATAAAGTAATGGGTTGTCCCAATAAGCACTCTTGGTCTCGTTGGACTCCCTGCCAATATCTCTTAGCCGAACCAACGAGTTTCATTTTGGCAAAACAAACCCGATGGTCGTCAGATATATCATATCAATCAAAATAGTTATCCATTTCATCCAACCAATCTAAGAAACAATAAGATCTAACCTACCATCAAAACTAGGAACGTTCACTTTGACTCTTTGTGTGATATCTCTAGATTCTTCATGGACATGCCTATGTCGAGGATTATGGTAACGCGGATGGGGAGGCAATGGTATCTGACACGTGGTCGGAAGGGCTTACGACTACCATCCATATCACACTCTGCTAAATAGTCAGACATGACTACCTTAGCAGGGTCCTCCTAGAAATTCCTATAACCTACGTTTCATCCAAAAAATGGTATTAGGAGGTGGCCCTCTATATGGACACTGAACCCAGATCCCCTAAGCTACCTGTGGAGTGGGTAGGACACCTTGACATGAGTCAGTAGGATCTATTAGAAAGGCAGGTGCCAAACATGGTGTGCCTGTCTGAACTTAGGTGAAATTGGTGACTCACCCTAGTCATACTCTATTGGTCGTTTTTCAATAAACTTAGTTAATTGGGCTAGTTGAGTAGTAATTTGAGAAAGTTGTTGTCCCATTCCTCTAACTTCCTAACATAACAAGTCGACTGATTGTTTAGTGTCGGTCATATCAATGGTGAGGGTCATAAAATTTTGTTCCAGTGCAGTATGGCAATTCTAGCACTTTCTGGAGTTTTTTTTATAATTTTTGAAACTTCTGGGATTGTTTCTACAATTCTAAAACTTTCTAGGGTGTTTTTGATCAAATTGTGAACTGTGGGTCAAAACTTAACCCACCAGGCTATCTTCTCCTTCTTGAATAGTGTCTTCGGAGGTTGCTACTGCTACAACAACGACACACTCAAACGATGATGGAACGATAACGAAGAAGCAATTAGCAGCGATGAAAAGCAGATCTAGATCAACAAAGAGCTATGAAATTTGATAATTTTTTTTTTACTAGTTGTGTTGGAACAAGACCAAAATAGCGATGAACACCAAGTGTGATGAATAGTTGTAATGAACAGTGGAGACCAAAAACAGTGCGCAATAAATAGTGCACACAATGAACAATGTTTTTCGATGAACAGTGGCTGCGATGAATTGTGATGACATGATTTTTGTGATTTGTACAAATCGAAGTTGGGCTCTGATACCAAATTGATATAGATCGTATTATGAAAGAATTAGAGATAAGAAGAGAAGAAGAATGAGATGAGGAAAGAGGGAGAATTTCAAGAAGAAGTAATATCAGAATTCAATATCAGTAATCAATAATAATCAAAGTCTGCCAAAACAAATACCATATCCCTTATATATATATAAAGAGAGTACAAACCCTAAAAAAAATAAATAGTCAAAATAACAACTAAACCCCTGAAAAGCAAAATAACAAATAACAAATAACACCTAATCCCTATGTCTACGCCTACTATAATGAAATATAATCCGATTCCTATCGACTGGTCACATAATTTTGTATTCAGTGCAAAAAGCGAAAAATGGAGAAAGCATTAGACAAGTATTCTGCTGACTCAACAAATTATGTATCCACCCTATTTTATACACTATAACACATACATATATTTAATAAATTCCCACCATGACATAAATGGTTCCTCAAACAAGCTTATCAATTGACAAATAATAGACTACTAACTCAATGATGAAGTTTCATTTGAACTTGCCTGATCTACGCTGCCAGGTCCAATTAGAACAAGTGCCACACCATATGCATCCATTGTATCCTGTTAAAAAAGGACTGATTACAACAACATCCTCCCTTGACCCAAATCCCATTTCAAAAACAATTTCTGAATTTAATCTCATGTTGATCTTCTTGCTTTAAAATGTAGTGGGATTTATCTTCTTTATAAGGGCTGGAGAGTAGGGTAGAATGGAATGCAGATTACAACTAGGGATGTCAATGAACCGAAGCGGGGGCGGAGGGTATAGTCTTCATCTTCATACCCGCTAAAAAAATCTTCATCCATCCCCAGTCCACCACCATTAACGGGTATAATTTTCATTACTATCTTCGTCCACGGGTAAATTTTTAATCCTTGTCCCCGCTTCTCCCGTACCCGCCCAAACTCAAGTTCAAGTCAACATAATTTAAAATTTTAAATAAATCCAACATTTAAATAATCCAACAACATTTTACCCCTTTTTGTTTCATAAAATGTTATTCATTTCTCTTTTTATGTATAAACACACTACATTCTTTATGGTGGCAAGAGATGAGTTGAAGAATCAAAACCAAGGAGTTCCCCGTAAGCATAGAGCCAGCAAACCAGCATCAACGTAAAATTGTAACAGTTTTTATCATCTGATTTCATATGACAAAAAACCATCAAAATATCATTCTTGAAGAAAGCTCTTAACTCTTACAGTGTGTAAAATATTTATATGAATCCTGAAATGTCATAAATCTTGGAACTTTAGTTTCTTAACTTACCATTTTTTTGCATTTTTATTTCAATAATCTATTTCTTAGAGGATTGATGACACATAATCAATTACCAATCATGGATATCTAAACTGGCTACAAGTCAGTTATCTAGTAGAACCAATAGAGTAAGAAATTGTGAAAAGTAGTTGTGTGCATGTTGCTCGAATGGCAATTGCACCACGGAAGTCATACCAAAAGTACAAATGGATTTAAATTTTTGTTTTGACAAATGGATTTAATTTTAAGAAGCCTGATATTATTCATATTGTTTAATGAAGTTAAGGATTGTTGCTAATGTTTGCACTTATTACCTATGGTAGTATATATTACCTATTTGAGTATATATATAAAACGGGTAACGGGGACGGGGCGGGACGGGGCGGGAATAAGAGTAAGTCCATCCCCGCCTTCATTCCCGTACGGATTTATACGGGTATTCCCGTATACGTCCACTGTCCAATACGTATAGTCCATCTCTGGTCCAAGCGGGGCGGGTTTGGACAAATACCCGTTCTTCTCCGGTCCGCTACCATCCCTAATTACAACCAAATAGAATGCAGATCGATCATCCTGCTTTATAATTTTAACCATCATATTTTGAAACAACAAAACAAGCTATGACACAAAGAAGTGGAACTTTGCTTAAACTATCAACAGCGAAAGTCATTTGGAGTGGCAACAGATAACATAAAACACATGACGACCAAAAGAAACTTCATTATACCCAAAGTCAGCATCTATATTTTATACAGTAACAAATGAAGAAGACAAGAACACCAGGGTCTATGCTCAACTTTTAATGCAGAAATGAACTAGTTATTGGTACCTAAACAGTTAACTGGTTTGAAGATTTATAATCAATTGATGGTTCCAAAAAGATGCATATTTTTTATATTGAACCAAGAGGGAAAAGGCAATAATTTTACTTCACATGTGGAAATTGAAAAAATAAAAATAAAAATCACTTGACCTTTTGTCATAAACTAACGAAGACTGTTTTTATTGGCAATGTTAACTAAATAACCTTTGTAGACTAAATGACATCTATTGAAATCATTACCTTCTTGGCAGCAAGATAATCAGCCCTTTTTCGACAAAGAACACAGCTGCAACAAACACAAAGGCATATACAAGAAACTAACAAATAAAAGTGATTCTTTTGCTGAATAGATACTTCACAACTTTTGATGAGCCAAGGTTTATACTGAACAACCGACATAAAAAGGCTGGTGAAAAATTACCCAAAATGGCGTGCAAATGCAACCACAGCTTTCCTATCTTTCCACAAATCAGAAATGGGAATTCCGTTTCCATTTAAATCGAACACTTCTACACTGTCCAATAAGTTTTTGTTCTCTTCACTCATCACTGATGAATCAATTCCTGTTTTCACATCAACAAACAATAAGAAATTAAAATCGCATAGAAATTCTTAATCAATCAAAACACAAACGTCTACCCTTTGTTTGCTCTCTTATTGTTTATAAGATTACTCATTTACCTTACAAACTCTCTACTCAACTCAACTCAATAAAGCTTTGGACCGTGAATCTCGTTATACCTTCGTTATTCGTTGTTTAAATTTCTAAAATTGCCGCTTCTCAGTACAGTACCAGAGCATATGCAAAGTTTCTAAAATTGCTGTTTCTCAATACAGTATCAGAGCATAAGCAAAGCTTGTGAAAGATGCAAAACTTGCCTGGAGAGCTGGAGATTGCTGATACGGTGATGACCCTTTTGGAGGGTGAGAGGTTGATCGTTTTGTTGCGGTTGGGATTATATGGTTGTGATACTTTGGAGATTAGTGAAGCTTGGAGGTAATGGGTGTTCTTGTATGGTTGAATGTTGCTGTAGGGTATGTATGTGTGGAGAGAGAGAGCCATGGATGGTGGTGTTCTCGGAGGAGAAGGAAGAAGAAGAGCTCCGGTGGAAACGTCGTGACCGTTGGAGTTTTGGGGGTGGGGAGAGAACCAGTGGGGCTTGTGAAATGGAAAGTTACACACGTGGCACATTTTTGACCTCTTAGACCCATTTACCCATGGATGATTTGTATTTTGGATGTTGGGTTGGGCTCTCCGGATTTTAATAGGGATTTTTAGGCGTGGGTACAAGTTTTTAGACATATTTAGGCAAAAGTGTACGGATAAGTTATTTTTTGTATTAAGTATAATTTTTATAAATTTTTTTGTGTTTAGGTAAAAAATTCAAATGAATTAAAATCTATTTTACTAAAACACCCTTCCTTAATTTATGCAGCTATCATTGACAGTTATTTTATGAAACAAATATGTAAAGATTACATTTTTGGTATATTAAATTTTTGAATTTTGAATGAGCAATTTTTGTGGGATATACAGTTAACATATGGGTTAAACTGATCTATCCAGTAGGTCAAAAAGTCTATGTAGTTACACACAAAGTCTTCAACCATTTATGCATTTTGTTCAAAAAAAAAAACTCCAGTGTTCTTAAACTTCTGTGTTCCCTTCAACCATTTATGCGGTAAACGTCTGGGATATATAGTAAACATCTATGTTCAATTGCAAGAGTCTTTTTCGACGTTTACTGTGTTCAATTGATTTTGACAATAAGAGTGTTATTCAACAGCAGATTTACTTCTCTGGTGGTGGATTTATTCGAAAAAAAGAACTGTAAATACCAATCACCGTCATCGGTTTATTGGTAAGTTATTAATAATAATATTTCTTCTTTTATTTTATCATTTTTTTTTTGAAAAATTCATATGTTCGTTTTTGTATTATGTTTGTTCGTTGTTGGAATGAAGGGAAAAAAAACTAATTTGGTTTTAATGGGTGTAACTAGTTTTTTCGTATAGACATAATAAGTATATTTTTTCTTTTATTTGGTCACTGATTTGAAAAATTCCTATGTTCGATTTTGTTTTATGTTTGGCCGATGTTTTTGTATTCTTTGGTGGTGGTTTCCCTTCTTTTAGAGCCATCAATGCATTTTGAGCCATGTAAGAAATCTGAAGTGCAGGGTTGGGTCAGGGGTTCATTTCTGTTGTAACTGTCATTAATCAAAGAGCATTATCCATAGAAAAATCAATATATCTACATTGCAAGATTCGTGGTTTCCATTTTAAATACCCTTTGTTTAACAATTGGTTGCTTTGCAACTGGTTATATATTACTGGCTTATTTGCATTTCTCAGAAAGGACCACTCTCGTGTTGATTTATGAGGTTTGTATTTAATGGGTGTAACTGTTTTTTTATGGGTGTAACCTTTTTTTTTTTTTTGGTATAGACATTAATGAATGTTTTCGAAAAAAATGGTTACTATGTTAGTGTTTGTTAATTAAGTTATTATTCTCGGTTTATGAAGCAAAGATTGTTTGATGTTGTTTATTGTTCGATTGAATGGGAAAAAAACTGTTTTTGGATAAAATATGGGTGTAACTATTTTTGAATCAGAATTACGTTTTTAGTGTAATTGTTCTTATATGCAATTTTTCGCTTAATATCTTTTTGGCAGATCCTGTATATTGAAACTATTTTGTTGTTTTATGTTTTTCTCCCAGTATGTCACTAATTAATTCAGTCATTTGAATTAAATTTTTAAAGTAACTTTTTTGTATAACTGCTATTCTTTTTCGTTGGTTTATGATACAATGTCATTTCTTTTAATGTCTTAATCAGGAATGGAGGGAATAGTGTTGCTTGTATGCAAATATGATGTTGACACCTTTATTCTCAGATGTTCTGTTCGTGCAACATTCGATTTCATTTATGGTAGGCTTTGCAAAAAATAGAAGGAATTGGGGAATTTGTTTGTTGTCATGTCATATTCTATCTCAGGTCACCCAAAATGTTGTTTGGAAAATGATGAGGACTTGTGTAATATGTTTGATATAATACGTTTGATAAATGTCAATCATGTTGAGGTCAAGGTAACTGCGCAAGATAAAGAGTCACGTGTGGTGGTTGATGATAATTTGTTTGAAGATGTTCATATTTGCGATGATGGTGTCGAGTTTGATGATGATTTGCTCCCTTGTTTTTGCTCACATATGGAAAAAGTATTGTTGACAGCTGGGTGGTCAAATGAAATAAGACATGTAGGCCAAAAGTTTGAAGATGGTGTCACACATTTTCGGAAATCTCTATGCAAATACTCAATCGAGGTTGGTTTTAAGTTTAATTATGTGAGGAATTGTAGGGATAGAGTTATTGCTGAGTGCACGTCGAAGTATGATAAAGGGTGTTGATGGCATGTCAATACTACTATTCAGAATCTTAATGGTTTCTTTTACATACGAAAAATGAATAATGAACACACTTGTGGAGTAGCATTGCGTACCACAAAGAACAAGGGATTGTCTTGCAATATGATTGCAGATTTGATTGTTGATAATGTCCGTGACCAGACGTCCACTCATCCAGTCAATGGTGGTTAGTGATTTCCTTACATCTTATGGTCTTGATGTATCTTATCAACAAGCATAGATAGGGGTGGAAAAAGCAAAGGGTATGCTGTTTGGGGATCATACGTTGTCGTACAAACAGTTACGTTGGTATGTGGATGCTGCGAATAATACAAACCCCGGAAGCCATATAGTTTTGCATTATGATGAGGAGACTAACCGTTTCCAGAGATTGTTTGTGTCCTTCAAGGCTTGCATCAAAGGTTTCAATTATTGTCGTCTAATTTTATTCATTGATGGGACATTCATTAAAGGAAAGTACAAAGGATGCATTCTTTCGGCAATTGGGAAGGATGGTAATCAGGATATAAGTCTTTTAACTTCTTTTTGTATATACGTGTTAATTTTGTATTTTCTTTGTCGTATTTGGTCAATTTACTTTTTCTTAGTGTTTGTTTTTTCATAGTTACTATATGATGTTGTTTGTATTTTCATTTTTATGCTTAATAAAAAATGGTGGTTATGCATATTTTTTTTAAAAACCTGTATACTGTAACTGTATAATGTCTATATTATGTGATACTTAAGTAGTGTAATTGTATGTGTTTACTGTTAATATTTTAATATAACAGGTTGTTATATATTGTTGTTATGATGTGAATTTGTAGGCTATTGTTTTAATATTTTACTTAACTATGTACATTTACCTTTGTGTTTTAGGATTATACCCACTAGCGTTTGCGATTGTTGACTTGAAAAATTAGTTAAATTGGTTATGGTTCTTACAACAACTGTCAGAAATTTTGGAACCGAATACAGAAATTACATTTGTCTCCGATCGCAATGTTGGTTTGTTGGAAGCCATGCCAAAGATTTTTTCAAAGTGTCACCACGCTTTCTGTTTGCAGCACTTGAAGGCGAATTTGAGAGACAAGTTTAGCGGTAGTCGGTTTTCAAATGGATTTAGGGAGCACATGGTGGTGCTATTGCGTGAGTGTGCTTATGCCCCCACCATTTCACTGTTTACCCAAAAAATTGAAGCTTTTCGACGGAAGGGTGGATACATTGTGGAACGTTTTTTGAATAATCTTCCATATGAGCATTGGGCAAATGCATACTTTAGAGGTAGAAGTTATGGCGAGATGAACTCTAACGCAGTGGAGTCGTTCAATTCATGGATTATGAAAGCACGACATTTACTTATTACGAGCATGGTTGACACTATCAGGTGTCAAATTATGAATCAGATGGGTACTAGGATGCTAACTGCGTGTGCATGGAATGGAATTGTATGTCCTGAGATGGATTCAAGATAACAAGTAGCATTTGCTAAAAGCAGGTCTTGGTCTGTTAGTGTTTCGAATAATGATGTGTATGAAGTTAATTCAAATCCTTCTGTTGTAGTCAACATTCACAATGGCACGTGTTCATGCTTTCAATGGCAGATTAATGGATTCCCTTGTTCTCATGCAGTAGTAGCTATACGGAAGAATGAGAGAAATATGAACGAGTTCGTTGATTATTTTTATTATGTTAGAACATACAAGAAATCATGCGCTCAACCTATACTCCTAATCCCGACTCTTGGTCGTTCGGACTTCAATGTTGACGAAGCTGAGATTTTGCCACCGTCAACAAAGAAGTAGCTGAGCCAACCCAAAAAATGTAGAATTAGGTCAAAGGGAGAACTTATTAAATGAATTCGATGCGGTCGTTGTGGACGGTTAGGTAGTCATAACAAGAAAACTTGTAAAGAACCATTTTGATTGGATTACTATTTTTAATTAAAAAATTTGTTATTTGAATATTATTTCTTTTTCAGTTGTTGTAGTCGTCATTTTATGGATATGTTAATATGGAGGTTATAATACGGGTGTAACATTTTGTAAAATGTTTTTTTTTTTTTTGGGGATGACTTAACATTGTAGCAGAACATGAATATATCAATAATTTTTGTATTATAAAATTGGGGGGTGAAGGCAATAATAGAAGGAATGGAAACCAGTTAAATGTACTTTTAAAACTTTCTTAATGTCATGTTAATGTCTAAAATCACAATTGGAAATAGTTACACCAAACTTTACTACGTGATCAGCTGATATAAATTGAAGATCAACGAGATTAATGGATATTGTCAAGGGTTTATGCAGCTATGATTGACAACCATGATATTACCAAGGGTTTATCAGCTGATCACTTAGTAAAGTTGAAAGAGAAGATCAGCTGGTCAGTTAATACACTGACTGATAGACTCATTTAGAAATATTCCAGCTGAACTCAAACGTCCAGAAACAGCTGGAGCTTAGTTGAATTCCATTTGAAGAAAAAATCCAGTTGAATTCCATTTGAAGAAAAAATCCAGTTGAAGCAGCTAAATTAACTTGATTTAAAGCAGTTGAATGCGAAATGCAGCTGAAGAGTCCATCTGATTTTAAAGCAGATGAATGTAATTGTTTTTATCTTAATGAGTTTAACTGTTTCTTATGGTTGTAACTATTTTTAGTATTGACAAAATAATTATATTTCTTCTTTTATTCGATTATTTTTTTTTGGGAAATTCATATGTTCAATTTTGTGTATGTTTGGTCGTTGTTGGAATGAATGGGAAAAAAAAACTGTTTTTGGGTTTAATGAGTGTAGCTATTTTTAAAAGTGGTGCAACTATTTTTTCATATTGATATTAATGTACGTTTTCAAAAAAAAAATAGTTCGAGATGAAGCAAAGGAGACCAGCTAAAACTAGTTGAACAAGCTAGATAGCAACCGAAGGAGAAGCAGATGTCAGCTAAAATAATCAGCATACAGGAAAACCAGCTGAACAGTGACGTGAACAATGGGATTTTCTATCTGCTGCAAATTGAAGAACATTCCAGCCGATATGAATTCTTGATGAGTTCATTCGCGTGCAAACTTACATGTTCGAATAGCTGCTTTATTTATAACCCTTTTTTCTAGACAAACAATCAGACACAACCCATATTCAACCCACAACAATTAGCCACAACCCATGTTCGAATAGCTACTCCATATGAAATGATGAATTGATAGACCTTTCAGAAAATAAATCTTATTTGGGTGTAGATGATTGTGCCCTTATATTCAACCCACAACCCAGTTCTACAAGCCTATTTTAAGAATGACTACTAGGATTTTTCAGAAATAATTGGCAGTGAGATTGAGAAAATTGTTACAAAGCATAATGGGGTGAGCAAGTAGGTTAAAGAAACTATAGCCTTGAAAAGGCATTTAGGTCTAAAGGGGTCAAGCTCCAAGCACAAAGTTGTTTATAGTTACAAGTATCTTCTCTTCTCTCTGTTATAATTCGATTCAATTAATCAAAGTCATTTTAGCGTGATCAAGCTCACTCAGCTAAGTATTTCATCCTGATCAATCTTTTTTCCACCTTCCATTGTGGTCAAGGATAGACTTGATTGAGTAATATGTCTCTCACTTTAGCAAAATAACTACTTTTTTTTTTAAGAGAGAAATTTATATAAAAGGAGTAAATTACAAGAAGCAAAATGCAAAGCATAAACAAAATACAAGTCCAAGATTGGCTCTAAGCCTAAAAAATAGAGAAAATTCTCCATAGAGTAGAGAGGGCCCAGCAGCCATCTAGAGAAAAGAGTTGTCTAAAATTCAGCTGAAAATACAGTTGGAAAAAATTAGAACCAGCTGAAAGGTCAACAAAACCAGCAGAACCAAGGAAGAAAGCATCCAACAGAAGCCAGCTAAAAGGATCCACAACACATCCAGCAGTACCAACTGACAACCGCAAAACCATTAGCAGCAGACAGAGATCAGCTGAGGGAGCAGCTGAACAAAACAGTTGAAGACCAGCAGATCAGAAGAAAAGCTAGCTGAAAATAGCTGAATACCAGCTGAAAATAGCTGAATACCAGCTGATAAGCAGCATAGAAACAACAGCCAAGAAACATTAGTAAGAACCAAAAGGAAGAGCTTATATGGAGGCAGCAACAACAGCAAACAGCCTGTTCGAGTGAACTGTCATGTGAACAATCACAATAACAGTACACAAACAGCATAAAAAAGAGAAAAACAAGCAGAAAAAGAAAGAGGATCCTTTATCACATCACCATTCCTGCCAACCAAGACCACTACAGCAGCAAACCAGCACCACCCATAACTAGAAATAGTCTGATGAAGAATAGAAAGGCCAACAAGAGTTGGCTTTAACCTATCAACAGGATGAAAATGAAGACTAAAACAGGTAAAATCCTCCTCCAATGTGCATGATATTGATCCAACACTCTCTAGTGTAAAAGTCAACTTCCTATAAATTCGAGCAATCAACCCTCTAATTTTCCATTGAATGATTAATTTACCAGAAATCATTTCCAAAAGCACTTGAGAGTCTGATAAACAGTTACATGAATCAGTATCGCCAACTAAACAGTATTGCCAAATGGTTACACCTAACATATTATCCAAACTACTTAAAACAAGAGACCACATGAAAAAGTAATTTCTATATTTTAACAACATATCAACATTTTATTGCATTGCTCAAAAATAGAATTACAAAGTAAGATAAGGAAGACACTATCAGGTTTCTCTTTTCTACTGCAGCTAGAATTTTTTTTTTTTTGGAGTTACTGTTCACGTAACTGTTTCAGCTGGATTGTTATGCACTGATTTGTTGGTTTGTTTACTGGACTGTTTTTTCAACTGTTATGGACAGCTTTTGGACTATTTTTTTTTGAATGTTTAATTGACTATTTCAGTTCATGGTGGCTCATTGTAACATTGCACTGCATATACTTGTTGACAGAAGAATTCTCACAGACTAAAAAAAATGTTACACAAACAGTTACATCAAACAATTAGAACAAATTAATGTGTAATATTTCATCATGAATATGTTCACAAAATACTGGAAAGCATTTGAGGCAACCAATGTTTTATCATATGATTTTGGAATTCCATATGATAAACAAAATCCATTACCTACACCAAACAAATTGTTCATTTACTAATCCCCAAAAAATGCAACAACATCTAAAATATGACTATTCATATAATTCCTTCAATTTCATCCTTTCGTGGAAATCATTTATTGTCCAAGAATTTGAATGGTTTAAGAACATTTCCATCATTTCTGTCTGAAAATCTTTCACTTGTGCAGCTGTCAACTTATCCTCTATGTCTTCATCCTTTGCAAGTTGTCTCATTATATAGCAAACGAACAGTCCATAATCGACCCTGCAATATATGCTTTGTTACTACCATTTCTTTGAATTTGTATGAATTCAAGTTACAAAGTAATACGTATGAATTTGCCATTTGTTTTGGACTTTTCTCACACGATGTCATTGGAAGAACATTGTCTGAGGGGTTAATGTCAATTCCATCGGCTGCTTGCATTTCAATAATTTTCTGTTCAACTTAATCTTTCTGTATTTTTTCAATGATAGATGTTAGTGATGGATATGATATTGAAAAATATATAAATATATAAAACAAAAAGGGTTTTAGTTGTTTTTTACCAATATTCTTGCATCCTCCAGCCACACGTCCCTCCTCACTTTTCATGGTTTCATAGAATTGTAGTGTGTTCAAGATCCAGCATCAGTATTCAACACTAAGATTGTCCAATGCCAAGGTTCCACAAGGTTGTTTTGACAATTTGAATTAATGGGAAATACAAGGAATTGTCAATCTCTTCCCAAAATGAGATTTTTGTCAATTTGTTCTTTTGCATAAATCCATGTTTTTTGTAACGAATGTCTACAAATATTTCATTTTATAGACAATTAAAATGAAATATACAGATACTGAAATAAAAAAAAAAAAACATGTTATTAAATTTTTATGTACCCAACATAGACTGTTGAAGAAGAAGCAACGTTTTTTATACGTTGACTTCTCGTTGTTTGCATCAAGTTCATGCAGTATATCTCCCCAACAATCTATAATCTGTTACAATGTATAACACAACATCCACAATAGAGTGAGTAAGGTTTTCCAAATAATTCATATGTGAACTTAATAGTTACACATACAGACCAATGTTGTAGCATGGACAAACAAATTAGATATTTATTTTTTTAAATTTGATACAAGATGCAAAATATACTTGCAACTATCAAACAGATTATAGGAAAATATTGTAAGTTGTACAATACTGTGATGTGTACAACTATACTATTAAGTGTAATACTTACATTATTGTATAGTGCACATCCTGCCATCAGTTTCAATGCGTCTTCAACATTTATGTAGCTTCCAATTGAAACACCAGACCAAATGGGTGTCCTACATGATCATATCACAGTTATATAAGGTAAGATCATATTTTTGTTTAAAAGTACAGTGAGTAAACCCACGAATTATAACGAAATAACTGTAGTGCAATACGTAACTGTTATAGTATATAATATACTTACGTAGGTCCTTCTGTATCATTGATTTGTTTTAATTGATCATAGATATACGGATTTGATTTCTGACAAATCTTCCACAACCTTGCAAATTCCTTATCGTGTCTCTCTTTTTCTTTCGCTGCATTGATCTTTTCTGTTTCATCCGCAAGGGTGATAATTGAATGTGAAGCCTTAATGTGTCCCTTGTCCTTTTTCTTATTGCTATACTCGTAATCCTCATATCTTTTTCTTTTCCTTTCCTTAGTCTTCATCTTTCGGACCATTGATGTTTGACCAATATCTGCACTGTCAGTAGGCTTGGTGGTTTGCATCATCTAAGTGATTTGTGCACTGTCAACTCGTTTATTTGATCTATTAATTCTGCATTTTCAGCTTCTAATATTTTGAAATTCTCTTTTAATGTCACATTTTCGGCTTCAATTTTGGTTTTTTCACTATGCATTGTATGAACCAATGTCTCAAGTTGCACGATTTTTGTGTCTCTATCTGATGGAATATCTTGTTGCACTTCAGCTTGCTGCATGAAAATCTCAGTTAACCAATATTGTAAACAATAACCAAAAACAGTTACATACAAAACAGTTACACCATAGAGTTACATCATATTATTTTGTCAACAGTTACCACAAAACAAACCATTAGGAATAACAAATAGTTAATCACAATATGTATCAAAAGGATTTCACCACATAGCTAACTATCTGGAAAAAAAAAAAACTTACTCCAACAGGTATCAAAATCGTTGAACCATACAGTTACCATGTTAAACTAAAATCAGTTACACAAAAAAATATTGCTGAAATAATTACACAAGCATAAGTACCAAATAGATGAACTTAATAGATAACTAAATATAAATAAACAGTTATAACAAACAGGTATAATATAGTTACACACAACAAGAATCACAAAATTCTGCAACAAATTCCCATATAGCTACAATAAGAAAGGTGTGAATATTAAACAAAGATATGTTGCTTTAACAGTTAATTTTATATATACCTTGTGATGCACCATGTCAACAGTGTCTTGCAATCGTCTTTTCAACGCTTTATTCTCATTGGACAACTCGGCAATCTTTTTTTTGGTTGAATTTATCCTTTATCATCAACTCAGAAACAATCTTTTGAGCTTTATCTCTATGTCTTATAATGTTGTCCTTTTCATTGTCATTCCAGACAGCATGTTCTATTGATTGCCTTTCTATTGGTTGGGTAACATTCACTTTAACTAGGTCAACCAATTTTCTCTTTTCATTTGACCATTCATTATCACCACTTGATAGCTAGTCAACACCATTTTCTCCTGTGTCAAGTTGTTCATTGTCATCTAACTCATTCTCCATTGTTTTTTTGGCCTTTTTTTCCTGCATTCTTCTTTGATGAGATAAACATCCTTTCTTCCTTAGTTCTCTTCAATTTTTGCTTCATAATATAAGTGTAAAATAAATTTAATTAACAAACAGTTACATAGTAACCTTTTTAAAAATAGTTACAAGTTATAGGGATAACTATATATGAATTGAGACTTACATCATTTGTCATGATGTTTGCCAAATATTTTTTCTTGATTGCCCTATTCAGACTTGGTAAGTTCCATTTCAGGAACCGAGGAAATGCCCTTTCAATGCTGGGAGTCATCATGGAGGTGTGTTCACACAACCAGTACTGCAACATACAAGATTACGATAATCAGATCATATTGGGTTATAGCAAAGTAATTTCAATTCTCAAATTAACATATTACTTTTATTAAAATACTAATCGGTATTAGGAGGACGCATCCATTGATAGCCGTCAGCGTTTCCTTCTTCTTCTTCAAGGATGAAAGCAGTGTATTAGTTATAGCTTCGGACCAATTGTATTTTCTACATTCATCCAACTTTTCAATATATGGTACAAACCTCCAACTCATTGTGTTTCCTGTTACTAGGAAAAAAAGTGTTGCAAACAGATACATACATAATAATCTAGCCAAGTCATCATAATCAGTCTCACTGTCCAATTCGGACACTTGTTTCAGCTTGGTTCTATGAATGTTGCTGTCAACTCCAATTTTTTTTGAACCAGCGTTCAGTAAATGTGTGTAAATGATTTTCCATGTATTGTACAATCAATCTTTTCACACCCATCTTGTATCCCAAATATTAGAGTCACATCATTAGGCCGTAACCTCAATTTTTTGCTTTCGATATTGAATCTTGAATTATCAGAATTGAAACATAATAGTATTTCAAGAATGTAGTTGTCACTTTTACGACACCATATTTTGTCCATAGTTTGGTCAATTATACATTCAAAAAGCAACCAGAACGGAGTCTTTTGCAACGCTGTCTTGTGATACTCATTTAACTGAAGTTCTTCAATGGTCCTGATAATGGCAAGCATATTGGATCTGTATTAAGGCTTGTACCTTGCATCAGTGATGTATAATTCACTTTGATTGTCATTTATATCCACATTTGTCTCTGTCTTGTGATTCGTGATGTGAAATTTCTTTGCTATACCTTATAGTAGGACTTTTTTTTACGATTGTTTTTTCGCCATGACCTGTTTAATGGCATCAACTACGTTAGGGGTTTACAAACTACAGTTATATAAGGTCTATTTATATTACTCTAACCATTAGTCCACACATTGGTAACTGTTTAATTCGTTAGAATGAGATTTCACCTAAATTTTAATGTGCATTATAACACAATTGCACATAGTAACTATTTAGGGTCACAAATATTGAGTATGAATCAAAGTAATCTAACAGATTCTCAACACAGTTACAACCAACAAAAGCTACTCAACAGATATTTAATACAGTTTACTAATAACATATAAAATAATAGGAATACTAAAATAACAAAATATTACTCAATACAATTACAAAAATTCAAAAC